GGAGTACGCCCTCTACCGTTGTCTAATATAACTAACGTATGGGCCATTGATTGCTTTGTTAACATTCGTTTGCGTGTGTTTTGTATGAGAAGTAGTTGTGCTTTAATTGTCTATAATTTCGTTTGAGAACTTCTATAAACGTTTAAAAACATGAATTATTATTGTTGTGTACCTCATTGTTCATCTTTCGCAAAAAACTAGTATTGCTTTCATACCATTCCAAAATCAGGATAGTCCAAATTTGTATTTGAAACTAGTAATTTGGGAAACAAGGAAGTGATCAATAGGAGAAAGGTGTGGGTTCATAACTTGAAGATTGGAAAAAGTGTCTGAACATAATGAGAGATTGTTTTTTACACTTCACTGAAAATTTATTCATATATATTTTCAAATGTTTTTGTCTATTATGAATATAATACCTACGTCTTGAAATAATGGTAAAAAAACAAACAAATTTTACACTGATTATATCTTTACTCATGAACAGTAGAATTTCTAAACAATAAAGAATTACATCAATTGGGTTTTTGATGATTGTGTTCTAAAAAGTCGAGTAGAAAATATATACCTAAATTTATCTCCCAAAGAACATTTCATTCCCAAAAAGTATGCTGGATTTTCTTTTAAAAATATCATGCTACCCAGGGGAATATCCCAGCCATATATTCGAATTGGAAACCAACATCCCACACAGGTTTTCATGAGAATTGTTGATCAATAATGATAAAAACTTGCAGCTTATGTATGTTGGTATAGGTATATGAAGTTCAACTACAGGTAGGTAGGTTATCTAATGTTGAACAGAGATATAAAATACAAAGTTCGAAAGCAAAGCTGAACTTTTGAAAACTCAAAACGAAATGAACATAAACACCATTACCAAACAATGTGAACAATCCGCCAATGGCCCATAGAGTAGTTCCGACATTCGCCATTCTGGCGTTACGATCTTAATCTCAGTCGCCTATAACCCGGTCTGCACTCGACGATACGTTACTGGTATTTCTTCCCTTAGCTTTCCAATCTCTATTCAATGAATTCGAATAACTGTTATTTCAAATGTTATTCTCTCTATTTCTCATGATGAAGTAAATCCCCTCTGTGTTGTCAAGACCAGAAATTATAATTCCACGTCGTATTTCTGGTGAAAAAACATCTTAACTAGTTCAGATTCTGAGAGAGACAGAGAAAGAAATTTCGCCACGCTCACCATTTTAAGAAAATATTCAGATTTAAATATCCTCCCAATAGCGATGCAGCAACATATTTTTGGAAGTATCAAAGGACCCTGTTTTCAATTGAGCCCAATTTTCAGCTGATCCTCTAAAAGCATTTACAGCTAAATTGACTCGTCTTTCTTTAGTAATCTTCAGCTACCCCTGCATCCTCAAAAATATTCTCCAGTTTTTTGATGAACTGTAATGGATGCATCGGCCCTCAGGTGTAAAATGAATGTTATTTTCGCCTAAATCTTTCCATGCCGAAATATATCCCCTCTCATGTTTAATATTCATTGGTACTGATATATCTTCCACGACATTACCCCTATCTAACGTTTATACAGACTTTCGATCGCCTTTTATGACCTCATATGCATTGTTGTCTAATTCACCATTGATTTATCCCATCAATGACTACTCATTCTCCAATAAATTCAAATTGCTTTCTTTCATAGGTCCAGTTGAACTAGCTAATGTTTCATCAAGAACATCTAGTGGTTCCACAAAATCTGGTCGACTAGCTGATTTCTTAGGTCTAGGCATTTTCATCGAACTATATAAACACTATAATTAATACACCACTCGACCACGGACAATGACTTACTTCAGTATTTACGAATATCTACAAACTATAGATTTCACTGCCCCACGTTGGGCGCCAAATGTCATGAACTGGTTCTGAATTATATTCTGTTAACCAAGAATCACAAGAGGCAGGACGAATAATAGGAGTGTGGGTTTCAAGTAGTGAAATCAACTACTGATGAATGTGAATTTTTATACCTATATTATCAAAAGAACACAGTCTGTCTAACATCTATAGATAAATAAACTACCCCAAAGTCCCAAAATACCGTCTATTGAATAGTCGGTTAGCACCACGTCAACACGAAGTATAACTGATACTTTCAGTAAAGTATGATAGTGTACTTGTAGTATCCACTCACGACGAACTAACAGATCTAGGTGGAAGTAGAGGTATAATCGCCACATCCATTCACTTGCGGAATTCTATACTCAGGAACATTCAAATACCTCTGCAGACGATGAATACCATCGGAATTGGCGAAACGTACGCAATTCAGCGATATTAGCTTCTGACAACTTCTCCCGTGATCTCGAAAGATCTCCCTGAGAGCCCTTTTTTGTCACCTCTCGCAATCGTTATGAGAGTCCGAATCAACCAAAATCACTGTATACAGGGTCCGCTCACTACAACTACACTTGCTATCTCCGGGCCAGATGGGACATCTGTGACAATAAAGGACAGGGCGATTTGTAGATATCTGTCTAGTTGGGCAAGGATTGGTCAACGAGGCTCTCGCAACCTGATCCAAGCTGCTGTGAACCCGCGGCAATATATGGTATATGGATGGCACCAAGGTTTGGTGTCGCTAACGGGACCTCTGGAAAATATGGCAACATCTCACAGTAAACAGCCTTGACCCTGTGCAGGGGACAACACAGGCCCTGGGCCAAACCTTTCCCCCGGTACTCGTCGGAGAAGGAAAACTCTTGGCCTACTTCGTAGACGAGAACTGGGATCGGAAGATGGAAGACTAATCTTCAGGAACCTGAACGAGAAAGGTCTCTCATATCGAAGTGGCCCCAAATAACAACCATGAGTCGTATATGGTAGGACCAACATCACTTTAACGTCAATTTCTATCAAGGAACCCTACGGCAAACCACAACCAACTTTGAAAACGGAATCAGCCTCTTCTGATCCTGAAGAAACATGACAGACTGACACACAACGAAATCCGTTTTGTGTTGTATCGTCACGACAAAAAATAAGCATTTATCAGTGCGCACTCTCTTTTATGGAATGAAAACACGCCCGTTATATTTATACAGGGTGTTCCTTAATGATATGCTAATATTCAAGGAGCCGATTCTTCGATCCATTTCAAGAATCAAACTTCATATGAACGTATGTCGTAGACGTCTTAACTTTTGAGATACAGGGTGTCAATGTTGAAAATATGCATAGATTATTTTTTTTGTCCACCCTGTATAACTTTTCGTGAAGGCAAAATTCAGTCTGCTATGTGGCTGATGAATCGCTATACAAATTTCAAAATGTTACATACTGTAGTTATCCAGTAATGGATGTTCTGAATGGAGTACTCAGACATCAAAATTTGAAGTCTGGTCTCGTTTTTCCGTTTTTTCTCGAAAACGAAGCGTTCTATCGAGTATCAACAAGAAGATCTTTTTTGTACATAATTGAATAGCCTTTTATGACAGTGTATCGAATTTGAAATTTTTTTGTCGTTGCTCACTTTTAAGTAAAATATAACCAATAATATTTCCGTAACGGTGCCACTGGGGGAAAAAAACAAAATTTGTGTACATCAGAGAATGGACATTGATGCATAGAAGACGTGTACAAAATTTCATGAAGATGTATACAAATTATCAAAAAGCTGAATTTTTTTCAAAACTTCAAGTTAAGACTTTTAGGACATACGTTCATAATATGAAGTGTTCTTCTTAAAATGAGTCACAGAATCCCCCCCTCGAATATTAGCATGTCTATGAGGAACACTCTGTATATTGAGGCTCCAAATGATTGTAAAATCATAATACTTGAGTTGAGAATCTAGAAAATGAATCGACGAATATTTGGAGCAATGATTGTGCTGATAAAAAAATGTTTTCTGAGATTGAGGCAATTCATTATATCTGGGAATGAGGATATGAAACCTGTCTCGTTACTTGAAAGAATCATAAACTTGTGGATCTGCTAACGATAAAAATGTATTCTAAATCTTTTCTCTTTTTCAAAAAGTTTCGTTTTTAGTAATTTAATTTTTTGACAACTGTCATCATTCATTCACGTCATTCCTCTCCTTGTAGGGAGACGGGAGACGGCATAAAAAACGAAAAGTTGCAACCGGAATCGCAAAAACGCAACTCCTCCGTTCTCCGCTGTGTTGTGAGGTTGTGAGATCTCCAGTTGAGGTTGTGATGTGGTTGTGATGTGACACGAAGGACACGAATACGACACGTTGTTGACTTTGAGCGTTGAGTTGAGTTGGTTGACCGTTGACGTGTTGACACTGTTGACACAGTGTTGTTCTTGTCATTACGTTTGTAATAGATCTATTACTATTTCACGAAAGTTGTGTTATTACGATTTGTCATGGATCTATAACTATTTGCTGTCAACTCCAAAATATGATGTTTGATCTATCTATTTCTGTGTGCAGCGAATGATTATATGTTCTGCTCTATGAGTCTATAGCCCTCTTCGTTTGTGTTTGCTCTACCTGCTAAACTTGATTTTTTTCTATGACTTCCTCTTTCAACATCATGTCATGAACAGAGACAACTATGGAAACAAAATCAACTTTAGCAAGTTTAGCAACACAAACGAACAGACCTATTGTCACCAATGAACTGAATGTATTGAGTTCATTGATTGTGTCACGATTGTCACAGTCTATGTTCTATATTCATGTCATAAATTCTTTGTTACTTTTGTCTCATTCCTGTCATAAATGTCTGATCCGTGCGATAGTTCGACGAGAATTACATTTGGAGTGTCAAATGTCAGACTTTTCCAATCTATTACCTTTTGATTCAAGTCTGTTACCTTTTTCCAAGGAAATCTGGTACGAAAAAGTTAGACCTAGGAACATCACTGTGTTGACAGTGTACAGTGTTGATGACGTTGAGGTGAGGTTATAAACTGATGACTGATGTACTGAAGATAAACTACAAGGAAATAATTCAAATTTGAAAACATATCGAAGTTGAAAGAAATTGAATAAAATGGTGCTGGATCTCGATCTTTTCCGTACTGACAAAGGTGGAAACCCTGATAAGATTAAGGAAAATCAGAAGAAACGTTATAAAGATGTGGAATTAGTTGACAGGGTTATTCTGAAAGACTCCACATGGAGACAGTTGAGACATAAGGCCGATAACTGGAATAAACTGAAGAATGTTTGTAGTAAAGCTATTGGTGAAAAAATGAAAAAGAAGGAACCACAAGGTGATCCCAATGATGATGTTCCCGAAAACGTCTCATCCCAGTTAGAAAATTTGACCATAGAATTATTACAAACCATTACAGTGAACCAGATCAAAAAGGTGAACAGAAAATTGTTTTTCATTATCAATCTCATTCATTGAATTTTGTAGGTACGTACATTAATTGATGATGCAATTGTGAGAAATGATGATGAGTTACTGAAAACAGAGAAGATGAGGAATGATGCCCTGAGGGAAATTGGAAATCATCTACATGCATCAGTACCAATTGATGACAATGAAGATAACAATAAAGTTGAGAGAACTTTTGGAGATTGTGAGAGGAGAAAAAAATATTCACATGTAGATCTGATCCATATGATAGATGGGATGGATGGTGATAGAGGAGCTGTTGTCTCAGGTGGCAGAGGTTACTATCTGACAGGGCCAGCAGTATTCTTAGAACATGCTCTCATACAATTTGCCTTGAGGATACTGCACAAAAAAGGTTACAAACCTTTATACACACCCTTCTTCATGAGGAAAGAGGTGAATAAAAGTGGTTTAATTTGAAAAACAAGTGTTAGATTGAGAATTGATTGATTACTTGTTTTGGGTGATTTGTTGGTTGTATTTTGTTCAATATTTCTTCAAATGATTCTATAGGTTGGTCTTATTAATGAAAGAAGTACAGCAAAACAATAGATTCTGGAAAGTTAGACACATTCATAGAGAGTGAAAGATGAAATGATATTTTAAATTGTGAGGAGGTCAACACCTGTACTCACTTATTCATAGAGAAACTCAAATATTATTTGAACCATGCCACTACAATAAAGTACATATATAAAAAAAAGAAAATTAGGAAAATTTCCTACTAGTTTGTGAAAAAAAGGAAAATTAAGTCAGATAACACAGGGCCTACTGAATTCAAAACATTATAGAGACTATTTGAAAAACTTCAGCAAAAAAAACCCAAATAATGGGAAACTCCTGAATAAATTTAGACAATACCCCAAAGCTATTTAAAAAATTACAAATAAAGCCAAAGCTGGATACCTATTATAAAGATAAATTTGAAACTAATAAAAATGCTTCCAAGAAAACATGGAGTTTAATGAAGTCTTCATGTAATAATGGTGATAGAAAACACAATATTAAAACATCTTAGATCCTGAGAACAATAAAGATATATCTGAGCTATTGGGATTTTAACCTTCATTATTTCGCGCTGTCATTCTGTCAAAAATGATATGTTTTCGACGCCAAGTGTGATGTGTCAAAATATTAATTTTGCCAGAACGACTCCGAAGATATGTTTCTACCATATTCGGTTGTATAAACGAATAATCATATGATAATCAGTCACATAATTGAATGAACAATTGTTATAACCTCCGATTCTACTACCAAGTAATCACACTTGATGATCACGTGATATATGCCGCCAGATGGCACATTGCTTAGCATCAAAACACAATAGCTAATGAATTTAATAATTTCTTCTTCAAAATTGGTAAAAAGTTATCCAGTAAAATACCTTAATCAAATTAAGTAAATTAACGTAAATTTATATACAGGGTGTTCCTAAAAGGCCTGTACAACATTTTGGCACATATTCCTGAGGTCAAAATGATTTAAAGCAACTTACCTCCGTCTAAAGTTACTCTGGATACAGGGTGGTAAATTTTAAAAATACAAATAAACCAGTACAGTCCAATAAAGTATTTTGAAAAGTCAATTTTTGCACTGCTAATTCACTGACCAAATATCATTCAGGAAGATAATTGCAAACATGCATTTTTTATTGAAAATAATTTAAATATTCCAGTGCAGCATGAATATTCCCATGCCCATCAAACTCTAAAAACAGAAATATCTCACAGGAGTAACTTTTTTGTTTGAAAATATTTTGTAACATTATTTCCTCAACCAGAGATCAACAAAGTAAAAAACTACACTGTGAAAAAAGTTATGATCATTCTGAACCATAAAAGTACCCTCTAATGGTAACAGTGAAACATTGTTGATCCTCATTCGGATACCAATGTTTCAAGTGATATGTTCACAAATGATCATGAATTCTGGAAAATTCGATTTTTATTTTTTAACTTTACCACACTGTATGTTGAAAACATAGTGATTTTGGACTGTGGTAAGTCACCATAAATCAGCTTATTTTGATTATGTTCAGACCTTTCAGGAACACCCTGTATAAATACCCTTAAAATTGCTGGGTCATTCTTTTCATCTCCTATCAAAAAACAGAAATGATTAAAGTAAACTCCCACAACAATCATAATAACACTCCCATGAAACCCTATCAACACCTCACTGCACATAGTAAATTCAATTCTAAAAATGGGATATGCCCAAATATACTCAAAAACTCAATGATCATGCCACTCCATAAGAGGCTCCAAAGAAGAAATTAATTATTATAGACCCATAGCCATTACCAGCAATGCCAGCAAAATTATTGAAAAATTTATCAAGTCAAGACCTATTTAGAAAATCATGAATTATTATCATGTAACCAATATGAATTTTGAACTGAAGTTGCAATCATCAAGGTAATAGCCTTGATATCGAAAATGCTTATTAATATTCCTGGACTTGACAAAGGCCTTTGACACTGTGTTGCATAACATTCTACTAGGATGTATGTACAATTTAGGTATCATAGGTATTGCCTTGAACTTGTTCAAATCCTATCTTAATCAGAGATCTCAGCTGGTCAAAGTTGGAGATTCATAAGTAGGTCTTGCCTGATAGAATGTGGTGAACCACAGGGCACAGTGCTAAGTCCAGTCTTATTTACCATCTATATAAATAATCCAATCCAATCCAATGGGAGACTTCACTCCAAGTTGCCAACATAAAAACCTCTACCAATGAACTCAAATGGCTTTATGTTGATGAAATCTCATTCTAGGAGTCTACACAGCTCTCTAAGAGAAGTTAGTTAGATGAAAAATTTGATTTTATGAACTCCACTTCTGATAAGTTGAAAATTATGTTGATTCACATGCATTCATTGTCAAATATGTCATTTCGTCATCAATTTTACTTGTCACATTCATATCACTAATTTCAGATTATTTATTTATGGACAACTCTATTATTATTGTTCTTTGGTAAAATAAAAAGAGTTGGCTTGGCTTAATGGTTTGCGAGAAGTAATATTCAAATAGGCAATTATAGTTTGGGGGTAGCGGGAAGTATAAGACCAAGGTATTTGAACATAATATTTATTATAGCATGAGATATTATTGGTAGTTATGAAATATAAATAAACAACAATGAATAGGAAGACCTAATAACTAATTACATTATGATTACCATTATGGCCAGTTCTTGTTAAGTCAAGAGTAGCCTCAAATGGTTTTGTTAATCAGTGTTCAGAATAGAATAACTACATATAACTTTATAAAACCCTAATGATTGGAACTAACTAAAATACCATTTCATTCATGACACAATTGACACCATTAAGAGTATTGACTTAATGCAGATGCACCAACATGATTTTCAACCAAATAGAGGTGGAGTTGACAAATAACAATTTTTGCCTGTATTACTTCTCTCATAAAGCTGAGTAGACTCCTACAATCAAATTGCCTCAAAATTGAGCCATGTGAGTATTCAAACTTCCATAATGTTGCTTCTACATTGGTAGAGGTTTTTAGGTTGGCAACTTGAAGCAAAGTCTCCCATCGGAATGTGGTGTAGATGTGGCCTGTTATTATGCAGATGACATGGTTAATATGCTTCATTATACCATGATACCTTGTGTTTAGATTTGCAAGCTTTGTATATAAATTTACTCTGTTCAATTTTCAATATATTGGTAAAATACCAGTTTGATAATTATGCTTATTACATTTTCTATCACAGATTATGCAAGAAGTAGCTCAACTCTCTCAGTTTGATGAAGAACTTTACAAAGTTGTTGGAAAGGGAAGTGAAAAGGCAGAAGAAAAGGACATTGAAGAAAAGTATTTGATAGCTACTTCAGAACAACCCATTGCAGCTTTCCATAGGGATGAATGGATTGCTGAAAATTCTTTGCCCATCCGTTATGCAGGATATTCAACATGTTTTAGACAAGAAGTTGGATCCCATGGTCGTGATACTAGAGGCATTTTCAGAGTACATCAATTTGAAAAGGTAGCTGGACAATACACTCTCATTAATTTTCCAGCCATTTCATCAGACGTGGGTTGATGAATGGTGCCACAATTCATACCAGTAACTTAGACTGCTTTGGTGAGAAATTACCAAACAAAAAACTAGTAAATCCAGTTTTAAATTAAAATCTGCGTGAATTGTCTTCCATCATTGAATAAACTTCAATATGGCTTTAAATCTACTTTGAAAAATAGAATTAGATACAAAACAATTAAACAACATAACATAACATAAACATTTGTTCAAGCGTCCTCCATTTTGCTGATACATTTCAGTACTCTTGAAGTAAATAAATACTATTATAATAATACAGAATGACTATAAAAGCATTACAGGGTCAAAATTTTACGATTGGTAATACTGAATAATACACAAAGTCATCTCCAGGACAATTTATCGTCAAAACTCACGGGTTCATTGTGAATAATCACATCAAGGGAACATGTTTTCGGATATACAGGGTGATTCAAAAGTAAGCGGCATCCTTTCAGAGGCGTATTCCTTGCATGAAAATAAGGCAAAAAGTTCCTATTGATAAGGATCCGAAAATGCTTCCTAAGGGAGCTACGGCCCTTTGAATAGGACACCTCAAAGACGGTTTTTTCTCTATAACTTTAAAATCCTTCACAACAAATTTTTAAAAATTGGTGTACGGCATAAACATTCGATGGTAAATAGGACTCCGTATTCGAAATAATTTCCAAACGAAATCACAGTAACCTGAATATCCGGAGAAGAAGGGATATTTTTACACTTACCCTCTCCCGCATGTGACGCCCCTGAATGAAATTCTGAAATTTCGAATACGGAGTCCTATTTACCATCGAATGTTTATGCCGTACACCAATTTTTAAAAATTTGTTGTGAAGGATTTTAAAGTTATAGAGAAAAAACCGTCTTTGAGGTGTCCTATTCAAAGGGCCGTAGCTCCCTTAGGAAGCATTTTCGGATCCTTATCAATAGGAACTTTTTGCCTTATTTTCAAGCAAGGAATACGCCTCTGAAAGGATGCCGCTTACTTTTGAATCACCCTGTATGTACATTGTCCATCATCAGCCTAATAAGAAATTACATAGTCATGAAGGTGAAAGAATTTTTTAGCTAATAACCTTAGAGAATTAAAAATACATAGAAGTTAAATGGTTAATTGTTTTCCTAGGGGTGGGGGGATAACCAAGAAAAACCCCTATAGATGGGCATTATCGTGGATAGTGAAAAACTAAAGAGCCCCCTAACATTTGGGGCACTTCCATGAGCAAGTTGAAGGACCACCCCTAGGAAAACAATTAACCATTTAACTTCTATGTATTTTTAATTCTCTATGGTTATTAGATAAAACAATTCTTTCACCTTCATGAATATGTAATTTGTCATTAGGCTAATGATGGACATATATATGTCTGAAAAAAAGTTCCCTTGATGTGATTATTCACAATGAACCCGTGCGTTTTCACAATAAATTGTCATGGAGATGACTTTGGGTATTATTCAGTATCAACCACTGTACTCCACTTTGAGAAATTATGGACTTCTATGAGAGATTATAACGGTTGGTGTTATACTTTCTTGAAAATCTTCAGGGTGCTGGCCGGTACACGCAGCGTAGACTATTTCTGACGGCCTCGTATTCGCCAAGAGTTTTTTTTTATCTTTGAAAGGCTTTTTTTCGTCTTCCTCTCCTCCTAGGACTTGGCTTAGTATTTGATACTGAATTTGACGATCTCACATGCCCAACTTTCGAACTATGTTGGCTGATACCTAGATCTGAAGCAACAACTTTCCTGCAATCGTCGAGGATCTTGCTGTTGTCTCACGGCTTGGTGGCCATTGAGACTCGATCTGGTTTGGTGTTAGAAGTGCAGCCATTGCTTGCTGTCACAACTCGGGTATTTTTTTGATAAAATAGTATACAGGGTTCAGTATATAAAACGGGATACAGGTACGCACAAGAAAGTTATGACTTTTCAAAAAACTCAAAAGATATGTAGGTGGCGCCACCCCCACGAAAGAGACAAACTACCATAAAATTTGATATTGTCATTGAAAAATACCCCTAGATACCGAACTTCATACGAATATCACAATTATTTTGAAATTTATTAACAGAAAACAAAAATAAGAATTCAACTTTGACACTCTTTATCTCAGAAACGAATAACTTTCGGACATACAGTGTGTCCCACTTACCATGCTCACCATGGGTATCTTTTTAACGGTGAGAGATACGAGGTCGGTTGAATGACACCAAATGTGGAGTTTGTCAAGGCCAACTATAATGTGAAAAAATATTTTGATAAAATCTATTCGTTTTTGTTTTATACGCAAAAAACAGATTTTGATCATTTTCATGTCTTCTCTGTAACTTCTTTATTTATGAAAATATTCAAATAGGAATTTCACATTCTCATGGCAGTTTTTCAAAGTGATTTCGAAAAAAATATGAAATTTATACCAACTCTTCTAGAATTTGAGATATCAGCACCAACTTTAGTTTTTCAAATGTAGGTCATAGCTCACTTTGACTTAGTTACAAATAACTTTTTTCTCTTACAGATGATATGTCGCAGTAATAGTTTTGTGTTGATAACAACGGAGTTATCGTCATTTATACAAAAATAAAAAATTATTTGGAAGCCGTCATCTTGAATTTATAGATTTTAACAGGAAAATCATGATCTCCGACCTCAAAAACCCCCACTTACCAATTTTGAATGGAATCGGACCAAATCTTGTCCACCATCTTGGAGCAGCCATTTTTTATTATTTCAACAAAAACTCCATAATGTATTGTCACCGAAATTATGAACACCTGCCTGTTGAAATATATCAACCATTCTGTACTATTTCCGTGGCTATACTTATAGTTCTACTTTGGCAACAGCGGCAACAGCGCATATGATATCCTGTACAAACTTTGCTACATTTTCGCGCCAATAAAGTCAGTCTGTGCTGAACACTCAGATAACGTGTTTCATTTATCAGGTTATGGGCCCAGCCTACACCCGCAATAAAAAGTTGAAACTAAAACGTGAGTTGCACAAGTATGGCTGTAAATTATTCAGCGAGTGTTCCTAAGTTAAAAGGGAGAGAAAACTACGCTGATTGGGCTTTTGCAGTGGAAAATTATTTGCTGTTGGATGGCCTTGACGGTTGTATTAATGGTACAGTAACAGACGCCGTTGCAATTGGTAAAGCGAGAGCTAAACTAATCTTAACGATTGATGCCCCTTTATTCGTTCATATAAAGGAAGCAAAGACAGCAAAGGAGTTATGGGATAAGCTGAAGGCGTTATTCGACGATTCAGGCTTCACAAGAAGAATTGGTTTATTAAGAATGCTAATTTCTACAAGACTGGAGAATTGTGATTCAATGGGTTCCTATGTCAATCAAATAACTGACACAGCGCAGAAATTACGTGGAACTGGTTTCAAAATCGACGACGAATGGGAGGGATCGTTACTTCTAGCTGGTTTACCAGAAAAGTTTTCGCCAATGATAATGGCGATCGAACATTCTGGAATGGACATAAGTACCGACGCCATTAAAACGAAGTTGATGGACATGGAACAGGATGTACCAATCGGTAATACAGGTAGCGCTTTTGCCAGCAGAACATTTGGTTACAGGAGACCCAATGTTGCCAACAATAACAGTGGTCACTCTGGTTGTTCTGGTTCTGGTTATCAGTCAAGTGACAACCGATCCAACACCAACGTCACCAGTCAGTCAAATGTCAGAAATGTCAAGTGCTATAAATGCAAACAGCATGGTCATTTTAAAAACAAATGTCCTAATAAAGATGAAAAACATCGCACAGGATCCAATGCTTTTAGTGCAGTTTTTTTAACGGGACATTTCAATAAAAATGAGTGGTACATTGATTCGGGTGCAAGTTCACACTTGACAGTCAATGAAAGTTGGCTAGAAAATGCAACAGAAAGGAAGGATTCCCAAGAAATAATGGTGGCTAATAGAATGAAACTTCCAGTTACATGCTCAGGAAATGTCAACATTGTAACAAGTGTGAAAGATGAAACCCATAGAATTAGTATTAAAAATGTCTTGTGTGTGCCAGAGCTTACCACTAACTTATTATCAGTGAGTCAACTGATAGAAAATGGCAATACAGTTGAATTTGAATCAGAAGGATGCAAGATCTTTAACAGTCAGAAAGTACTAGTGGCTACAGCAGACTTAATCGAAAATGTCTATAGATTAAATGTCAAAAACCAAGAAAAATGTTTATTGGCAGCTGCAGTCACAGATGAAACTTGGCATCGTAGATTTGGTCATATAAATTACAGAGATTTGAAGCAGATGAAGAATGGCATAGTAGATGGAATCATCTGTAAAGGTGAGATAACAGGTGATTGTAAAAATTGTGTGGTTTGTTGTGAAGGAAAACAATCCAAATTGCCTTATACACACAAGGGCACAAGAGCATCTGATCTTTTAGAGGTTATACATGCAGATGTGTGTGGACCCATGGAAGCTCGATCCATTGGTGGTTCGAAATATTTCTTAATATTCGAAGATGACTTCAGTCGCATGGTATTTGTGTACTTCTTGAAGATGAAAGATGAAGTGTCAGATTACTTCAAAGAATTTAAAATTATGGTTGAAAACCAGAAAAATAAGAAAATAAAGACTTTGAGGACAGATAATGGAGGAGAGTTTTGTAACGGTGAGCTGGAAAAATTCCTCAAAAATAATGGAATTGTACACCAGAAAACCAATCCATATAATCCTCAACAAAACGGTCTATCTGAAAGGATGAATAGGTCCTTAGTTGAAAAAGCAAGGTGCTTGCTATTTGATGCTGATCTAGATAAAAGGTTCTGGGCAGAGGCAATACACACAGCCGTTTACCTGAAAAATAGATCAGTTGCATCTGGTTTAAAGGATAAAACACCTTTTGAAGTTTGGACTAACAGGAAACCTGATGTGAGTAACCTGAGAATATTCGGCAGCAGTGTCA